ATTTTAAATACATTTTCCAAGAAAATGTAAGATGAAAGTTAGCCAATTCTATTAAGCTGGCAAATGAAATCTGAATCACTTATTGATTCATAATGAAGAGCAGCCATTCTGTCTGGCAACCAAGAATTCTAATCATCTGCATCAAGTCCTGAGCAGGAAGACAGAAAATGGCATCTGAGGTCACAGGGTTTGTAAGAGGACGGGTCTTTGGCTTGATTCTTGGTTAAAAATCATGCCTTTTTCTTTGCAGTGGCAGAAGGTTTAGAAATGGGTGAAGGAACACTGATTCCACTGGGCGTTTTGGTCACTTACATCTTTGCACCTGCTGAGCTTCAAAATGTCTATGAATAGTGGAATGCTAGTAAAATTCTGTGGTCTTAAGGGTTCTCATGCTGGGAAGTCTGGGAAGAATAAAGTAGATCTGTGCCTTGATGCCAGAGGAAGCTGTAAAGCCAGCACCTGCCTGGTTGTGCCATGGGTGGGAAATGGGGCACATGTGCTCCAATTTGTAAGAGATCTCCTGGGCCAGGTGGCAACATCAATCTATGGCAACAGAACTCAGAACGACAGTTACTATAGAGGTTGAGGGTTGACTACAATGGTYAGGAAGGAACTTTCTGGGTGACGGAAATACTCTATATTTTGACTGGCAGGGTTGTTACATGGGCATATCCTTCTCCCCAGATTTATCAAACTGTATATGCATGTCCATTCTACTGTATGTAAATTTTGACTGAAAAAGCAAAAATCCAAGACTGGGTGAAAAATAAAGGCTAGGAGCTAATAAAAACCCTTAAAACAAATGACCAAACTATCTTTAAAATGAGCCCTTAAAAGGACTCATTATTCATCCACTTTAGAGGAAAACAGATGACGTCAAATAAATGCTCCAAAACAAGCTCCCCAACATAGCATTTGTAATCAGTACAACGATCAGTTTGAACAGAGCTAAACCTGCACTTCTCAGAGTGCAGGAACCATGTCTGGTGGGATAAGCTATCATAGAGCTATTTCTACATTTATTTTTTTTCATGTTTCTGTTGAGGAATTATGTTTTTGTTACTGTAAAAAGCTTTTAATGGAGCTAGAGAAGAAGCTATGTTTGGCCACAGTATTATCTGGTTAAGAACTAAAAATGCAGAGCCCTCTGGTGAATCATGTCGCCAAGAACTGCAGACTTAACACATTGAGATGGTACAGATTTGAATTTTGACTTTATGTTTTCAGTCATTGTGAAGATACAGAGATAACAAAAAACAGTTATATAGCAAAAAACAGCTTTTATAGCAAAAAAACAGTTTTGAAAGTGGTAGGACATCACTTAGAAAGTTCGTTTTTAGACACCRTTATTCTGACAGATGGGATATTATTTTATCCTTTGAAGTACCTGTGGTAATTAACTAGCTGATGTTTAATGACCTAATAATAATCAAACACCATTTTAGGCTCTCAAATTCCCAAATAGGGAGAAGGAAGAGGCAGAAGGTCTTTAGGAGGCTCTTGGCACAGGTAAGGCCAGGAGGGAGGGATGGAAAAGGGGTGATGGCAATGCAGTGATGAGCAGAAGTGGCTAAGCTAGATTGCTTGGGAACTACTTCTTGATCCCGTACGAAAGGTGATGGAAAGTCAGGCCTCAAAGGAAAATGCTAGAATTTTAATCTGGTGACCAGAGGGACAGTGATGCTGTACACAAAGGGAAGTTGGGGGAGGGGGGTGACCATGTTGGAGGAGAGAGAATGAGGGCTTGGGAGATGATTGGAAAAGCGGGTCTGGAGATACACTGGGCAATGGCTCTAGAGAAGTAGACTTTACCTGGTTAGTCAGTAAGTCATGGCAGGGCTGTGTGTCTCACATGAGAGGTGATAGGAAAGGAGAGAAAGTTGGAGCCAGAGCCACTAGAGGAAAGTCCATGTTGGGCTCCCGGGCACCATGCTTTCCCACCCACCATCACCCAACATGGCAGACCAAACTGATCAGGATGTTGACAGAAATACTGGAAAGAAAGTGGTCAAGAAAACTGTCTTTATTGGACATGTCAGACTTTGATCACAAGTCTCTGCAGATTCAGAGTCTCTGAGAAGACAGCTAGGCTTCTTATCCCTCCCGTGTTCAAGGTGAACATTTGCAGGTTCTCTTTCCCTTCCTCCTTCCTTTCTTATTTCCTCTTTTCTTTTTTTCCTCATCTCCACTCTCTTCTCACTTCCCCTCCCCTCCCTTCCCTTCTCCTTTCTGTCCCTCTTGCATATACTTGTTTTATTTTGGACTGGCCTAGTGCATGTGTGACCACTGTTGACCTGTGAGAGGAGGTACTGTCACCAGGATTCACCACTGTCACCAACAAAGGATAATAATCTTTCTTTTCATTATAATTTTTTAGATTTTTGTGGTGCTAGGGGTTGAACCCAGGGCATCCTACATGCTATGCAAGTGCTCTACTGCTGAGTTACRCCTAGTCTTCAGTATTTATTTATGTTCAATATTTATTTTCATTGCTAATTGTAGAGGGAACTCTTCTGTGTTCTAATATTGCATTATTTTGGGTTTTTCAAAGCACACCAAATATATATTTGCATTACGACATAATTAGCCTTTTTTTTAAAAAAAAAACCTTTCTACTTTTTTATTTGTACTAGTTTTAAGAACTACTCATAAATCTCTTGGTAACTGCACAGGTTCCTAAGACCAGAGACTAGCCACTCCTGGCATTGTGATTAGAGTTATTTAATACCCAAGGCAGTGACAAATGTCTGGCAATGAGGGCACTACTAGGCATCATGTGTCCTGGGACCCTGGGGGAGGGCACACTAGGAGAACCTTATACCAACTCTTRCTCCCTGGTCAGGAGAAATGTTGAGAATCAGGCAGATGCATGTGGGCACTGTCAGGAAAAGTAAGACCCCTGCCTACGGTCAATGCCAGCACAATTAAAAGCTTAAAATCAGTTAAAACAAAGGTCCTACCTTGGTCTTATCTTCATACCCTCAGACTTAATATATTTTTCACATGTTTACAGAGAGCAGTCAAGGAGATATTGGTGGAGAGTTTCGTGGGTTTGGCTAACGAGGTGGAGGAGTATTACTTTTCAGCTGCAAACGTATCCCTGGAATGCCAAGACATTTATTTCAAAGTCTGATTTCCTTGTGCCACTAGAGGCCTGGCAATAGTGTGGCTACTCAGAGATGTGTGGGGCTGGGACCAGTAAGGCATTTGAGCCAAGTGTATTCCAGGAAGCTTTTCTTGTTAAATTATATTCTTCAGAAAAAAAAAACCACCCCTGGCACATTTTGCAAACTTGATCTCTATACACTTTTGATGGGCATTCTATTTTCGCCATAAGCCTATGATTTACAGCTAGGCTGGTTTCCCTCTTGCGTAGGGTGACGATGGCAGAAAGCTAGGGACACAAGTAGGGAGCAGAGGGGGCTGGAGTTTCTTTTCCCCAGGGAGGCACACTCTAGCTATGCCACACTGCTGTCCCCAGCAGACAGCAAGCCTCCCTCACTCCCCACTGCCATTCATCCAGCTCTGTTCAGCAGCCCAGCTGCCGCGTCTGCCGGGAGGGGCTGCCAAGTGCCCTGCCTACTGGCTGCTTCCCGAGTCCCTGCCATTCCACACACAAACACATCCACACACGCTCTGCCTTGATCACACACCGAGCCACTCGAACATGCGAGCACATTCCTTCCTCCCTTCTTACAGTCTCGGCCCTTGACTTCTACAAGCCCATGGAACATTTCTGGAAAGACACTCTTGATCCAGCAGGGTAGGATTGTTTTGATTTCTCTCTCTCTCTCTCTCTGTAGCTTGAGCATTTTGAGAAAGCAACTTACCTTTCTGGCCAGCGTCTGTATCCTAGCTGGGAGATGAGGATGTGCCGTTCTCCATGGGGGGGGGGGGGGGGTGTGCGGCTCCCTTTTCTTTCAGGAGTTGTAGGATTCTTTGTGCCATTTATATATATATATATATANTATATATATATATATATAATTTGGCAGGCACAGATTTTTAAAGAGCCCCATGAAGTGCTTTTGCATGTGTTGTAAAGAAGGCATTTGAAAATTGAAAGTGTGATTTACGGAAACTAAATCATCTGTAAAAAAAATTGCTCTGGAAAGTAATTGTTGCTGGCCATAAAGAGAGAAATATCTGCAATTCACCTAATGTGTTTTTAACCCTTTCTCTGCTTATGATCTATAGTTATTGATGCTAAACTCAATTTTGGTTTCATATTAAATCAGCTCATCTACAAATCATCCAAAATTGATGTGTTTTTGCAAGAATTAGATAAAAATGTGTAAACTTAGTATAAAATATTATGAATGTTACCATTAGTAACAGCAACCTTGGCATTTATATATGCCATGAACATTTTGTCAATTACTCTTTTGGGCGTTTGAGATAGTAATTAAGGTAAAGTATTAATGGCTATATCAGAGGCTATTAGGCTGTAGCAAAGGAAGTTTATTAAAAAGTATAAACTAATCAAGACTATGGATTATGATATACTTGACCAGATATTTTATCTCATTAATAGGACTGTGTGTGCATGTGTGCACGTGTGTGTGAGTGCAAGCRGGGTGGCTTAGCTTTAATTCAGTTGAGTTCAAAAATTGTTTCTATTTCTTTTTCATTTGGATATTTGCTTCTGCATGTTCCAGCCCAAGTGGACCCAGAAAGTCCAGCTGTAGGACTAAAGAGATGAAATGCAGAAATGCATTTTAAAATTGCTGGTTAGATGGACAGTGTAACATAATTGCCAAAGCTTTGGCTAGTGACCTCTGAGAGGTTAGGTTTTGTGGGGAAAGGTCGCATTGCATATTCAGTTTTCTGAAGTTTTGGTTGCATAACCTGTGGAAGGCATGAACACCCATTTGCGCCTAACCAAAGGTTTTTCTGAATCATCATTCACATGAGAATTTCTAAAGGGAGCAAGTACAGCACCGTGGTCCAACATAAATAGAAAAGTCAGGCTGGGAGAGTCCCAGAGGTTGTGTCTGGAAAGGACCTTGTCAGAAGCTCTCAGCAGATGAGAAAACTGAAGCGTGGTAGGATTCTCCTGCCTGCCGAAAGCAGTTCTTCCTATAAGTACACCTTGCATCTCCACTCTCCTTGCCCCTACATGCCTCCTATCAATTCCTTCAGCTGCTAAATATAGCCGGCTGTGGCTGGCTGCATATGCAACTGCACACTCCATCCTATCTACCATATCTCAGTTACAGAGCAGTCCTCCCCAGGGTCATTCTATGTACACACTACATATTTCTAGCCAACGAGGAGAGTGAATCAAACAGAAAGACAAACAGAGATAGATTGGAGCCTGGCATGGGCACATCAGGCAGCACTTTAGAAAAAGCTGGCCCCTGGCTTAGTCTTCTRCTTCTGTTTTAACCCTCGTCTTCCCTGAGCCACATTTAGGAGATCCCTCAGCGTCCCCATGCCCCTACGGTGAAATTCAGTCTTCATTCAGCAGGGACCACAAGTTAAGTTCTGGGAAGCGACTCTTTGGGGTTGCTCCAGAAGGAGCGGTGCCTGGAGTGATATTTGAACCAGTGTCAGTGAGAGGCAATGGTCCCTGGCGGGACTCCAGCACCTTTGTAACACTTGTAAGCAAAGGAGACCTGTACTTAAAGTTAGAGACTAGGGAGACCAGGAGCTGGCGGGGCGCGTTCGCACCACGGTTGCACTTGCTGGAGTTTGGCCAAAGTTTGGCCACTCGGCTCCAGGGTTGGCCCCCGGGGCAGGGCCAGGCTGGAGTTCCAGTCGCCGCAGGACCTGAGCTGCGCCACCTCTAACCGCGGACTGTGCTCTTTTTCCAGGTGGCCCACCGGCTGCTAAGCCCTCTGTCGCCCAGGGAGACAGTCTGCGCCTTGCCCCGCGGTCACCGACCATGACCATGACTCTCCACACCAAAGCATCAGGAATGGCCTTGCTGCACCAGATCCAAGGGAACGAGCTGGAGCCCCTAAACCGCCCGCAGCTCAAGATGCCCTTGGAGCGGCCCCTGGGTGAGGTGTACGTGGACAGCAGTAAGCCGGCGGTGTTCAACTACCCCGAGGGCGCCGCGTACGAGTTCAACGCCTCCGCCGCCTCCGCGCCGGTCTACGGCCAGTCGGGCATCGCCTACGGCCCGGGGTCGGAGGCGACGTTCGGCGCCAACAACCTCGGGGGCTTCCCCCAGCTCAACAGCGTGTCTCCGAGCCCGCTGATGCTGCTGCACCCGCCGCCACAGCTCTCGCCCTTCCTGCACCCCCACGGCCAACAGGTGCCCTATTACCTGGAGAACGAGCCCAGCACCTACGCGGTGCGCGAGGCCGGCCCGCCCGCGTTCTACAGGTACCCGCGCCGGCCGCGTCGCGCCGCGGTGCATCGAGTCGGGTGGCCGGTGCGCGCCCTGCGGGAGGGGAGGGGGGAGCCTGCGGGCACCCGCGCGGGTCCCAGCTCGCCCGAGGCCGCGGGTGGGATCAGGCTGGAGCTCTTTGGGCTGCAAGGGCGGGAGCCCTGGGGTTATTTGCGGAACCCGGGGTCTGTACGTTGGTACTTAAAAAACAGTTGTTCTCCACCCTCCTATGGTCTCTGTGAGAGGCGGATCCCAAAGCCCGTGTGCTGCCTAACTAAACATGTTTTGGGAAATTATACAAAGCAGCAGTTATTTGTGGGGGCTAAATACCCCAAAGCAAATAAACTCAAGGCACTTTGAGTCACCAGTAAAGGTCCTGCTTTACTATTTAAAGTTGGAGGTATTTGGGGTTAGTGGAACTCAGGAAAGTTTTTAAAAAATTTATTATTATTATTATTATTATTATTATTATTATTATTATTATTAAGATTTTACTTTAATATGCCAGTAAAAATTTCTTTTATCTAGAATCATGAATTTGGAATATGCAAGGTATGATGATGATTTTGGGGAAGCGATTCTTAGATTCTTATTTTCCACTTCACCCTTCCTCCGCATCCTAGTTTCGAAGGGTTTTGGATGGAATCGCGCTGCTCAGAAGATTCATAGAGGAGTTGAATGAGTCTCAACAAGTTTCTGATTTCTGACTGAGTTTCTGGCTGATTCCGTGTTGGAGCAGATTGCTGGCATGTGACTTTTGACAACCGGAAATTTATAGGTGTCCTGTAAACTTAAAACATGCCATATTGAAACACCAGTGATTCAAAATAATCTCCTGCCTGCTAAATGACACATCTGTTCTGCCAGGCATAGGATGCCCCTGGGCTGGCGCGGGGTCAGCGGGGGTCGTCGCCTTTTTCGTCTTGTGCAAGAAACCCTGGCAGTGCACAACACAGGGGAAACTCTTTGTGACCTGAGTGGTGATTGTTTTGTGGCTTTATTATCTCCTAATAGAGATTGCTTCTCTTGCCTCCCCATTACCTATTATTTTCCCTTGAGCAGGTCCCCTTCCTCTACRGAGGGCCCATAGAGGGCTTGGGTGGGCCTTTCTGGTAAATACAGGTGTGGGAGGACAAAGAGAGCTGGGTCCGGTTGGAAGACTTCAGGGTGCCCACATTAGGCACTTTCCGACTGTACACTGGAGTCTGGAGCCTTCTGCTGCGCTGGCCCAGTCCTCCTGCAGTGCAAGCTCTGGACCGTTTTCTGCTCAGTGTTCCTTTTCCAGAGGTATTTATAGCAGAAGAAACTGGACTAAGGAGCAGGTTGGCACCCGAGGATACTGGAGAGCAGACTCTTGGGGTATCCAAGGATACATCTTCATCTCCGTTAGAGAAATCTGGCTCATTCTACAACAGCAGGTCTAGGCTGAGTTATTTCTTAAAAGATGAACAACGCACAAAACTTTGAGTTGCTGTACTGAAATTAATTTACCTGTTTTAATCCAGGGTTAAACTGGAAAGAGAGAGAGGGGGAAAAAAAAAAAACATTTCTTCTGCCCACTTTTTTCAATTGGAAGAACAAAATATAGCGATTAATTCTAATTCCCACCGCATTTTAAACTTCATGATGTGAAGGAAGGTATTGGTAGGATATGAATTCCATAACCTTATGGTGGACTCCTGAAACTGTTTCTTTTCCATTTAATTTTCAGTTCTTTTATTGCAAATGAATGCCACTGAATTTCAATGGGCACTAATGAGACTGCTCCTTGGTGGATTATTGCTGCCTTGCTAATAATTACAAAGTGAGCATGGTCAAATAAAGAGGGGACCACATTTTATTCAAAACTGCTCATCATCCAAGTGGCAAATAATATCACTATAATATGCCCCATCTTAAACTTTTTTGTGTTAAACAATATCCAAATACTTTTAGAATAATAAAAAATGGCAAAAAAAACTTTTTAAAGTAAAATACTCACAGAAATGCAATTCTCTTGGGAAACTCAGTTTTGGAATTTTTTTTTCTGTGTGGTTTGCCTCTTATTACCCATGGAGGGAAGGAGTTGTCTGTGCAAGTTACTTCAAATGCGCAGATGCTATTTAATATATTTTCTTTTCTTATCAGTTTTCCTGTTTGGATAATTTGGGATAGAAAGAAAAAATTGATTAGGCTCTTTTAAAAACCTTTAATTTTCTTAAGTAGTTCTTAAAAGTTTTGGATAGCAGTGTTTTCAACTACTTGGCATGACACAGTAGATCAAAAAATTAGTTTATTATGTCTACTACATTATTAAAGGAATAAGTCAGAAAAAATATTAGAGTACATGATATTTCTCGAGGGTAAGTTTTGTTCCATGTAAATTTGTGGTAATTTTATGTGCTACGTGTGCCAATTGTGATGTAAAATATATTTGTTACTGTGGGTTGCGGTCAAAGAAATTTCAAGGGTTATGTTCAGTAAAAACAGAAAATTGAGGCAGTGGCTGCGGTTTTATCTACACAAACCAAAACACTTATTTGATTGCCTTCGTTTTATTTTTCCCTTATACATTAGGCTGGTATATTTAGGTCAGTTAGACTAAGGTTTGCTATTTCTGATTCTTAACTTTCTATTTGTAGAATGGTGAACAGCACCATGGGGTACAGTTTGCACTATCCACATGAATGTCCCCCTGGGATGTTCAGAGAGCTTGTATGAAATTCACATTATTCAGCATTAAGATGCTATGGTTACTTTCTTCCTTGGCCACCATAAACAACCACATTTCTGTATGAAGAAAAGTAACAGGTAAAATTGCACAGGTCACATAATAACATGAGAAGGATTGTTGCACTTCCCAACAGATAGTTATTAAGAGATAATTAGTTTGTTCACAGACAAGCTGTGATTTTGCAAGATGTGTCTTACCTAAAATTTCATGACGAAGGCCTCTGATCTTGAGTTCTTCTTTAAGGTGCCAATGGCTTAGGGATTTCAAATGCAACTAAAAATGAAAAAATTGACACTGTTTTTTTTTTTTAAATTCAAAGTAGACATTTAATGCTGCATGCTTATTTCAGTTTTATTACTCAGTATTTCTAAAGGCTGAACATTGCCTACTTCTTTTGAGTGGCTAATGTTCAAGTTTCCAGTAATTCTTCCCTTGTGCTTAGATGCTATTTCAGCTCCTTTTCTTTCTGTTCTTACTTTTTTCATTCATTTAAATTGCTACTGATTACCTGACACATACTGCCTCGGGAATGAGTGGATGTTCGGATGAAAACGGAATCACATCTCCAATCTCCATTTCATTTTCACCTACTCCATGTGGCTTGTGCCTGTTTGGTAGAAAGCTCGTGAAGGATAATTGCCACTTATTCTAATCTTCTTTCTCACACTCTGTTAATTTGGATCCCTGGCTATAATTGTTTGCTATTTACTTTTGTGGATATATTTAGGCTATGACATTTATAATTTGAGAAAATTCAGGTTGAAGATTTTGGTTTCTTATACATTTAAGGGTACAAAAGACAGGGGGCAAGAAATCACCAATGGCAGGCACAGTAGAAAGCAGGAAAAACTGTAAAAGACAAGTCCGATTTCCCATCAACGATGAGAAAATAGTAATCTTTATCAGGGGAGATTGAATATATAAAAGTAGTATATAACTATACAAATATTAGATATTTTTATTACTTTATCCCCATCCTAATATTTGTGCTGTTGCTTTCTTACTCTAAAAAAGGAGAAGAACAGATTTAAGTGGTCAGAAGTTTTGCTATGAATACAGAGTGATGATATTGTGAAATATTTTCCTCTGGGTGCCAAATTTAGGTAAAAATCTTTATCCCATCTGCAACATTTGTTTGCAACTAGGGTTATTCTAAGGAACATTTATTTTATAGATGCATTTTTAGAACGTATCCGATTYTAAAAATCTGATTCAGACTGATTATGTGAAAAGAATTTTCACATAAAGAAATAAATGAATTTTAATTGTATTTTTCTCAACTCCAGAGTGTACATAAAATTAAGACGTCTCACTCCTCCCTGGGCCTTCAGTATTATTTTAAATGTAAATTTAGATGATCTCAGTTGAAAAAGCAGCACTCTGAGTGTGCTCCTTCCTTTTTCAGGAGACTTTAGAGAGGAGCAAGTAGGTTCTTTGGTTTAATGATAAGTCTCAGTTTGCTTACCTAAGAAAGGAAAACCTGAGCACTTGTTTGGAATCAAAATGCATGCTCCAGAGAAAGACGCTATATAAATAAAAAATATAGCCACTTGAATGGGAACCAACCAAAGTGAAAGGCAAAGGATTTCACAGAAGGCACTTCGTCAAAGTCATTGAGTAGTTTTATATTTTAAATGCTTTCCGTCAATTGGTGAATAATGTCATTTGAAAAAAAAAATAAGTGTGTCTGAGCTGTTCTCTCCACCATCCTAAAAGGTCTTTACCCTGTCTCCTGGAATTGGAGGACTTAGGTGGACTGGAGTTTAAGGGAAGCTCCTTTATGATCATCTTGGTCTCATGAGGGAGGAAAACATAATTGCTGAATTCTGTACCTCGGAGAATATTATTAGGAATGATGAGGAAAGTTTGGCCTTCACCAACGGTATTTTAAATGATGTGTATTTTTTAGACCTTATTAAGATACGAAGGATAGAGCAAACTATGTCAGTCCCATATGTCAGAATTTCATGCCATTTAATAAAATCATAACTTTAAGTAACTTGGTTAAATAAAAGAGGATGCAGCTGTCACTCCTAGGTGGTACGGCAGGGTGGTGACTATGTTAATGATGATGGTGGTGGTGGTGATGGCAGTGGAGTTTTGGGGTCAGTTAGGGTCAATGGAGTTCTGGTTGCTTGTAATATAGCCTGGAGAGGTTTACCCTATATGAAAAAAAATCCATTTATTATACTCGACTCATTTTTGTGAGGCTATAATTTAATAGTCTGAAATGTCAATGATGTTATTAATAATAATATCATGAATCTATCAAGGACCTATAAT